AGGATCACGCAGGTTGCCAAGAAGAAGAGGATGCTGACTCACCTGGTGGTCCAACCCGGTCTCGGATCCAAAATCGGCCCCACGTCCAAACAGGAGTTGGATGACATTCTCAAGTTTGGGACGGAAGCGCTCTTCAAGGACGAGGGAGAAGGTTAGAAAAAAGGAGAACAGCAGCATCATCCACTACAATGACAAAGCCATCGACCGGCTGCTGGAAAGGAATCAGGATGCCCGGACGACACGGAGCTGCAAAGCATGAACGAGTACCTGAGCTCCTTCAAAGTGGCTCAGTACGTGGTGAAGGAGGAGGAAGAGGAGCAGCGCGAGATCATCAAACAGGAGGAGAGCGTGGATCCGGACTACTGGGAGAAGCTGCTGCAGCACCATTATGAGCAGCAGCAGGAGGATCTGGCCCGAAACCTGGGAAAGGGCAAACGGATCCGGAAGCAGGTCAACTACAACGACGGCTTGCAGGAAGACTGAGCCGATTGGCAGGACGATCAGTCCGATGGCCAATCGGATTACTCCGTGGCATCTGAGGAGGATGATGAGGACTTTGATGTGCGGTCAGAGGCCAACTCTCTCAGGCCAAAGACAAGCCACTGTCCGCCCTGCTGGTCATGGTGGGAGGCAACATTGAGGTGTTGGGTTTCAACTCGCGGCAGCGGAAAGCCTTCCTGAACGCAGTGATGTGTTATGGGATGCCTCCCCAGAAAGCCTTCACCACCCAGTGGCCGGTCCGGGACCTGCGAGGAAAATCGGAGAAAGAATTGAAGGCCTACGTTTCTCTGTTAATGCACCACCTGTGTGAACCTGGCGCCGACGGGGCCTAGACCTTTGCCGATGGCGTTCCCAGAGAAGGGTTGTCATGGCAACACATCCTCACGTGAATTGGCGTCATGTCGCTCATACATAAAAAGGTGCAGGAGTTTGAGCACGTGAAAGGCCAGTGGTCCATGCCCTGGATGGCCGACCTGGAGGAGAACAAGCGAGCTGCGGCTCAGCCCGACTCACCGGGGAAGACCTCGTCCACCGGCACCCTGGCAGACACGCAGCCCCATACCCCCACTCCCGCTGATGACTCAAGGAATGACGAAGGGGCAAAAGACAGAGAGAAGGAGGCAAAGAAGGAGGTGAAGGCATAGAAGAACGGAAAAGATCCAGTCAAAAGTAACGAGGTCATCGCCATCCCGGACGATGACAAGAAGAGTCTGGTGGAGCAGAAGAACGGAGAGGAGCCGATGGAGACGGACAAACCGAGCAACGGAGAAGCAGAAAGCATGAAGGAGGGAGAGGCTGAGAAGAAGAGTTCAGACGGAAGAGAGGAAAACAAATCAGAGGCAAATACGGAGGGGTCAGAAGTCAAGAAGGAAGACTTGGTGGTCAAAGAAAAAAAGAAGGAAGAAAAGACAGAAAAGATGGACACCAGTCCTGCTGCGGAGAACAAGAAAAATGTGAAGTAGGATAAAGATGCTTTAAAGCCAGATGAGGTGACCAAGCTGCAGAACGGAGACTGTGGAAAAGAGGGCGGAGCTTTGGCTCCTGCTTGCTCCGCAGCCAACAGCGTCAGCGAGGAAATGGAGAGACAAAACCCGGTTCATGTTTAACACCGCAGACGGAGGATTCACAGAGCTCCACTCCCTGTGGCAGAACGAGGAGCGCGCCGCCATGGTTACCAAGAAAACCAACGAGATCTGGCACCGTCGCCATGACTACTGGCTGCTGGCTGGCATCATCCAACACGGCTACGCTCGCTGGGAGGACATCCAGAATGACGTGTGGCTCGCCATCCTCAACGAGCCCTTTAAAGGAGAGATGAACCGGGGCAACTTTCTAGAAATCAAAAACAAGTTTCTCGCCTGAAGATTCAAGCTGTTGGAACAGGCCCTAGTGATCGAGGAGCAGCAGCGCCGCGCTGCCTACCTCAACATGTCGGAGGACCCGTCACTCCCCTCCATGGCTCTCAACACCCGCTTCAGCGAGGTGGAGTGTTTGGCCGAGTCCCACCAGCACCTCAGCAAGGAGTCCATGTCGGGGAACAAGCCAGCCAGGGGCGTCCTGCACAAAGTGCTGAAGCAATTTGAGGAGCTGCAGAGTTATATGAAGGCGGATGTGACCCGTCTCCCAGCAACCATCGCCCGGATACCGCCGGTCACCGTACAACTCCAAATATCTGAGAGGAACATCCTGAGCCGCCTAGTGAGCCGAGGGCTG